TATAAGAGGTATATAGGGGGTATATATAGGGGGTATATAGGGTGGTATAAAGGGGGTACCAGTGTGAATTGAATATTAATTGCACTCTTTAAAACTTCCATCTAGAGTATTTAAATTTGCATCTATCAAATCATTTCTTTTGTGAACAGAAAGTAATTTAAAATTCTTTATTACTTTCTGGAGCGTTTTCCGGACTTGAGGAACGTTTTAATTTTAAACATCAATCACATTTAGCGTTTTTGCAATTTTCCTATGTTCATAAATCTGGTGAAACCTGAAGGTACGAGTCATGATAGCTTCTATAATGACTTTTATTGATCTCTTTAAAGCATTAAAATGATTACAACAATGAAAACACAAACTTGACCTGAGATCAAAGGTAGGACCCGGAGATAGGATTGATATCTTGAACCTGACAGAAGATACTTTTCTCTGCAGTTCTCTTGTCTTCATGAAACCTGATACATTCCCTGCATACGGAGCCTGTTAAACTTAAATTTAAAACTTTAAATATAACTGAGTGTGTAAATATGCAAGAAAATGTTGTTAACGAGATCAGTTGGTTTTATCCACAGTTCCTACCAGGTTCTCCTATACTAGTTAATTATATATATATTGGCCAATTAAACATTTTATTACAGTGAAAATGTCGTCTTCTAGGAATTCTATATTTCACAATTGTACTTTTAAAAAATAGAAATTATAATTCACGCCGTGATTTAATCTCAAATGATAAGGAAATTTTAACGAACTTTGTCGAATTTTTAAAACGTTTTTTTTTAATTACTGACTAATAGCAAATTTATGTATTTTTTTTTATTTTCAAGTTTTCTATTGATTTAAATTACTAAACCGACATTTTGGAAATAAATGTAAATGGAAAGAGAAGCTCCGATGAAATAAAAGAAATTATTTAAGTTTTACTCTCTTTTCATTCTTGTTCTGGGAAATTTTAGTCGTTTTTTTAAGTGTCGAATAAGTGTTGAATTTAGAAAATTATGTTCTTTATCTTTGCTGCAAAAAAATCCGCATTTTTTTGTTTCAGAGAGGCTCCAGGAGTATAGAGGAGTCAGACTTTCCGTCCGATCAAGGTTCAAACCTTTAGGAGATCCCCCCCCCTGGAAAAAGAAAAAATTTAAGCCACCCCCCTGGACAAATTCCCGAATACGCTGGTTTCATGAGCTATGATCGGACATATAAACAGACATGCAGAGATTACTACTTTTATGATATTGGATTGTAAGGTAAACAAAGGTAGAATGAATTTATGAAATTTAAGTGGTTTCTAGTATAAAAATTGTTTTTATAGTATATTTAAACCACTTCGATTGTGTGCTACTTGAGAAGTGGTTCAAATTTTTTAAATCTGACACTTTATTTTATCCTGTGTATTTTGAAACTCCCTGTAGTGTCATAAAGGAATATAAATAATAACGTTTAGTTTACATTTATATTTGACAGAAGGGAGATCAAGTCTGATTAACGATGGTGAGAAATATATTTGACAGAAGGGAGANAGGATAGGATCAGGTATAGGATAGGATCAGGTATAGAATAGGATCAGGTATAGGACAGGATCAGGATGAACAGAAATTAAAATATTTCTTTTAAGGTTTGTTCATGATGAGATTGGTCGATGTTACTTGTTGCTAGAGACCTGTAGTTCTCCAGGCTTAGAGATGAGTACAGGAGAAGGTGAACAGGAGAATACTACAACCTTCTCCAGGACCACGTCTCTACCAGTAGAACCCACAAGCAGGTCAGGACACCTGGATTAAGGTTTTCTAATCCCAAACCCAACCTATGATTATTTAAACGGATATTATCAAACCTGAGACTATTAAAGCGGAAATTAACCTGGATATAAGCAGTCATGGTTGTTTTTAATCTTTGTGACAGAAACAATCTCAAGAACTAACGAGGGTCAACCCAGACCGAAATATATTTTCAATAAATGTGGAACTAACATCTACTTCTTTTAATCTACAGAGGTTTGGTCCATCACCATCACCGAATTTTAAATAATTAAACCTGAGATTAGTAAACCTGAGATTAGTAAACCTGAAGTTAGTAAACCTAAAATTAGTAAACCTGAGATTAGTGAACCTGAGATTAGTAAAACTGAGATAAGTAAACCTGAGATTATTAAACCTGAGATTATTAAACTTGAGATAATAAACCTTAGATTATTAATTCTGAGATTAGTAAACCTGAGATTAGTAAACCTGAGATTAGTAAACCTGAGATTATTAAGCCTGAGATTATTAAACCTGAGATTATTAAACCTGAGATAAGTAACCCAGAGATTAGTAAACCTTAGATTAGTAAACCTAAGATAAGTAAACCTGAGATATCAAACCTGAGATAAATAAACTTAAGATAAGTAAACCTGAGATTATCAAACCTGAGATAAGTAAACTTTAGATAAGTAAACCTGAGATAGGAAAACCTAAGATTATTAAACCTAAGATAAGTAAACCTGAGAAATGTAAACCTGAAATAATTGAAGCTGTAAGTTGTATAGACTCAAATTAAATCAACTGATCAAGGTTCAATGCTTGAATATAGTTTTCCAATAAATATTCCTAGAATTGCAGTTTAAGTGTCAAGGTCTGAGTAAACCTAATCTACAGGTGTCAGGTTGCTCTATTTTACTCCTTTAGTACTTGAGATGTTATATGGATATTTATAGCATGATATCATTTATTCAATAAATTCTAGATATAAACACCATTTTCTATTAGACAGCTCTGAATAAAGACTGTCAAACATTGATATTAGCAACGCTACTTGAATCCCTAATTACGTGAATACCTAAATACACAAACACACCCAAGGAAAATGGACGTAGTAATGAAAAAATAAACTTGTTTTTAACATAAAAATGCAAAAGTTAAAACAGCAATGCAGTATGAATTTAAGGATTTGTAACTAGGGTTCCTAACTGCAAAGCGTACAAAATTTGGATGTGTTTGTGTATTTAGGTATTCAGGTAATTAGGGATTCAAGTAGCGATACTAGGCTAGATACATAATAACAGGACTAATAAACCTTGATATTCTCTATATACTATGATAGATACAGGATCCAGGACTAATAAAGCTTGATATTCACCATATACAAGGATAGATACAGGATCCAGGACTAATAAAGCTTGATATTCTCCATATACTGGGATAGATACAGGATCCAGGACTAATAAACCTTGATATTCTCCATATACTAGGATAGGTACAGGATCCAGGACTAATTAACCTTGATATTCTCTATAAACTGGGATAGATACAGGATCCAGGACTAATAAACCTTGATATTCTCCATATACTGGGATAGATACAGGATCCAGGACTAATAAACCTTGATATTCTTTATATACTAGGATAGATACAGGATCCAGGACTAATAAACCTTGATATTATCTATATACTAGGATAGATACAGGATCCAGGACAAATAAACCTTGATATTCTCCATGTCCTAGGTTAAATACAGACTCTCCACCTGCCTACAGTCCTGCTCCAGGAGAAGATATTGTTACAGACGCAACATTTAACAAAGATCCTCGGAAGGTAACTTTTATCATTCAATTTCTCTCTCTCTCTATCCCCCCTCCCCTCTACATTTCCTTTTCCGTAATTTAGTATTATATTTTTTCTGCCCTCGTCGTCTCATAATTTTACTTCCCAACCTGTTTATTTATTTATTTATATTTTTTTTGGTACTCCAATGGCCCAAAAAAAATCCGCGAACCTTTTTTCTCTCAAAATCAAAAGTTCAGAAAAACAATCCCTTACAGTCCCTTTAAACAATATAAAACTGTGTGTCTAGAGTAATGACGGACTACTCCTGGCTCCAGGATTGATCAATCCCTTTCTCGGGATTAGAAGAAAGGATACAAGTACAGGAGAGAACCATCCAAAAATTTTAAAATAGATTTTAAAAAATAAATTGTCTTCTTAGGTTAAATTAACTCTAAAATGAAACCGACTGTGAACATATATTTTTCTTTTCGAAAAAGTAATCTAAGGTTTTTCTAAAAACTGAAATATTAATTAATGCAGTTTTGTTCTGTTTTGATAGCATATATATTCTTAAGTCGTTAACTTAAGGATCAGATTGTTCAGAACTCACGACCCTCTTCACCGATTTGCCTTAGCCTGTACTTGGTTGACTTTGATTGAGAGCTAGTACATTAAAATAAAATTAATTAGAAAATGGATGGTTTAAATGATTTCTCCAGGTATATTTGAAAACCTGGGAGTTATAGATCTACCCTTCAACCTGGATATCGCAAAGAAGAGCCTAACCTCAACCATTTCAGCTCTCTACGCTATGATGCTGATAGGAAACCTAGGATATTATATTTTAAAAACAAAATTGCCAATTTCCTAAATTATCCATTCAACCTTTAATTTATCAAGAATGTGGAAGATATCGTTGTTTTCCTAGCTCAAAATGTGAAGAACTCTACAAATTTCCTTAAACTGTGTATCTATATTCTGAATATTGGAGCACTTGTATGCAATCAGGTCAATTCTACTCTAAAAGTTGTAGATCAGTAGACTTACACATACAGCCCCTCTTAGTTATATAAAAGTATTATAAAGAGTAAAAATCGTTGGATAATTTAGTTTCTTGCCTGGTTTTTGTCTCTACTGAAGTTATCACAGAGAAGGTTCCGATGGACTTTTTCGAAACTAAAGGCAAGTAATGAGAAATATTTTACCTATCTTTTTCCGACTTGCTTAAACACGTCAATATATGGCCTAAATCTTAGTGATAAATAGCTTGCATTTAGAGATGGTATCGTAAAAAAGGGTTTAAATTGTTGCAAACGTGATCAATTGTACTTTTAAGACGTTTTTAATGGGTCTATTTTCTTGGGTCTATAATCTTCATGTTTAGGGTTCAATACCTATATCTTGGGTCAATAATCTTCATGTTTAGGGTTCTACACCTACCTGTATCTTGGGTCAATAATCTTCATGTTTAGGGTTCTATACCTACCTATATCTTGGGTCTATAATCTTTATGTTTAGGGTTCTACACCTACCTATATCTTGGGTCTATAATCTTTATGTTTAGGGTTCTATACCTACCTATATCTTGGTTCTATAATCTTCATGTTTAGGGTTCTACACCTACCTATATCTTGGGTCTATAATCTTTATGTTTAGGGTTCTATACCTACCTATATCTTGGGTCTATAATCTTCATGTTTAGGGTTCTATACCTACCTATATCTTGGGTCTATAATCTTTATGTTTAGGGTTCTATACCTACCTGTATCTTGGGTCTATAATCTTTATGTTTAGGGTTCTATACCTACCTGTAACTTGGGTCTATAATCTTAATGTTTAGGGTTCAATACTTACCTGTATCTTGGGTCTATAATCTTCATGTTTAGGGTTCTATACCTACCTATATCTTGGGTCTATAATCTTCATGTTGAGGGTTCTATACCTACCTATATCTAGGGTCTATAATCTTCATGTTTAGGGTTCTATACCTACCTGTATCTTGGGTCTATAATCTTCATGTTCTACATCTTCTTCTACGTTCTCAGAGTCAAAGTTACAGGGAAGGTAGGAGATATAGAAAGAACGGAGAGAGGACGGGTTACTATAAGAGAACGGGTTACTATAAGAGGACGGGTTACTATAAGAGAACGGGTTACTATAAGAGGACGGGTTACTATTAATATTTTATGAAAATATTGTTTATTCATGTATGTTTACTTCTTGGTAAATTTCACATGAGAAATTTACCTTTATCAAGAAGGCTTTTTGAATTATATTTTGTCCCAAGCTTGCACTGCGAACCAAAATAATAATTTAATAATTAGTTGTTATCTTTTATCTCTTTTTCAGTAAATTAGTAAATTAATTATTAATTTTATCTCTATGAGAAAGCAATATTCCGTATTTTTGGTGTTTTAGAGGATTAAGTAAAATCCTTGTGGATTAACTAGCGGATTAATGTTCAAATGCTTTAAATCTAACGTTTCTATTGTGAATATCGAGTTTAGTCATTGTAAAATCAAACAAAAGTTCGAACCTCAGGCCACATTTATAAAACCCGTATAAGTTGCGAACTCTTATAATTAATTCTTATATTTATTTATCAGTCAAAAATGTAGGTATTTTTATTTCAGGAGCGTGATACGACCCAAGATGAGGTGGACGAATTTATCCGAAAGATGAAGATTGCTACAGGGATGGATGTGAAGGAGGTTGTAGGTAGACCTGGAGACACAGGAGATACAAGACGTCTAGCAGTACAGTCCGGAGCTCGGAGATCTGGTTCAACCATGATACCAGGACAGAAGAGAGAGAAGGAGATGCTGGTTAAACTAATGACGTCAGAGAATGAGAAAAGTCATGGAAGTATGATGCTGAGGATGGGAGCTATTGCATTCGGTCTGGGCACCTTAATTTACACTGGGTTAGGTTAGTTTTTAATATTACATTCCATATACGCAACATCCCCCTACTAAATTTCTGACCTACTAACTTTCCGACCTATTGCAATATCGGAACTTCGCCAGCTGTTTATTTTTGTATTATTAGAGGGTTAGGTTAGCCTAAGACAATTTCTGGGCCTAGAACTGCGGCTAGGACAGGCTAGGGGGCCGGCCGCTGTGGCAACAAGTCCATCTAGCAGCTGTAAAACCACGTGCTATAATAGGTCGTATGTGTAGCATAGCGGATTTGGCGTTGGTCAGAAATGGAGAATAGCGAATTTGCGTAGGTCGAAAAATACACCATCCTTTTAAAGGGACTGTAAGCGCAATTTCAAGTGACCTTTCATCTAAGAAGGGGTAACCCCTATTCACAACAGATATTGTCAGAAATATTGCTGATAATCTACCGAAAAATTAAAGGGGGTATAGGCTTAATGTGATAAAAGAGCGCTTTTGATCGCTACTAGTCTCACTTCCATCTGTTGCGTCTATAATGAGAAAATTGTTAAAAACGACTCATACCGAAGAAAGTAGTGTCCATAAAAAATTCAGAAAGATGCAACATTCAACTCGGATCGTAAAAAATCAATTTAATTCTAATTAAATCATTCAGATATTACAAAAAATAGTCATCGATTATTTTTCGACGCATTCGTAAATAGTTGATTTTTCATAATATTTAGTATTTTTCATGATTGGAAAACATTTATTCCTGTTTCGAGGATTTTTGATAATGAAGACTATGCTGAATTCCATGCAAATTGGAATAAATAAAGTAAAACATTAAGTCTAAAAGTCGTCTTCCTATTTCAGATTTTTCTAGTTATCACTGTAGAGATTAGAAAAATTAGTCTTTGATACGAATTACTTTCTTCTGATTAGGATGAATATACAGAAGAACAAGATTATTGCTAAGTTTGGTTTAATGCATCTGCTGGCAACCAACTGCTGTATCTGGATTAGAACCCTTGTAAGGTAACTTTACAAGGTTTAAAAATATTGCAAAAAGTACGCTAAAATATTGCAAAAAGTACGCTAAAATATTGCAAAAAGTACGCTAAAATATTGCAAAAAAATTTAATTTTGTTGTTTTTGACAAATATTAACATTGAAGTGTGACACATGTTTTAAATCCATTTTCAGTTACTGGCTGTAATCATGTGTACAGTCGAGATCTGTATTTTATATGTTTTAAATCCATTTTCAGTTACTGGCTGTAATCATGTGTACAGTCGAGATCTGTATTTTATCTATGTACAAGGAGCCTGTATATATCTATGTACAAGGAGTCTGTATTTTATCTATGTACAAGGAGCCTGTATTTATCTATGTACAAGGAGTCTGTATTTTATCTAAGTACAAGGAGCCTGTATATATCTATATATACAAGGAGGAGTCTTAGAGATCTATGTACAAGGAGCCTGTATATATCTATGTACAAGGAGTCTGTATATATCTATGTACACTGTACATAGTACAGGGAGTATGTATATGTCTAAGTACTGAGAGTCTGTATATATTTATGTACAAGAACAAGGAGTCTGTATATATCTATGTACAGGGGGTCTGGTTATATTTATGTACAAGGAGTCTGTATATATCTATTTACAAGAAATCTGTATGTTTCTATGTAAAAGGAGTCTGTATATACCTATGTACAAGGAGTCTGTATATAACTATGTACAGGGAATCTGTATATATCTATGTACAGGGAGTCTGGTTATATTCATGTACAAGGAGTCTGTATATATCTATATACAAGGAATCTGTATATTTCTATGTAAAAGGAGTCAGTATATACCTATGTACAGTGAGTCTGTATATAATTATGTACAGTGAGTCTGTATATATTTATGTACAGTGAGTCTGTATATATTTATGTACAGGGAGTCTGTACGTGAGATAGTAGAATCTGAAGAGTTTGCTCAAGTAGTTTCTGACTCAACTAGACAACATTTCAAGGTTCATCGACATACAAATCTAACTGTAGTATCACTGGTAATATATCAAAGGGAGTGTTCGCAAAAAATGAAAGGGGGGTATAGGCTTACGGCGAAAAAAAGGGCTTTCGGTCGCTTCTAATCTTACTTCTATCTGCTGCGTCTATAAGGAGAAAATTGTTAAAAACTACTTATTCCGAAGAACGTAGCGTCCCTCCAAATTCAAAAAGCTTATTTTTCGCCGTAAACCTATACCCCCTTTCATTTTTCGCGAACACTCCATTTAAAATTATTCAATTATTGTCTCATTATAAAAAAATGCTTTGGATTGTTTTCCTCGATCTTTTCTTATTTTATTATGAACTGGGCGAAGGGTCCGGCACCGCCCGTAACAGGACGATATATATGAATGTCTTGTTTTATTTAGTACATTAAATTTTTGTCTAAATAGGAACCTCTGCATCTTTTTTAATATTCAATGATTGGAGGTTAGTTAAATTTCACATTTTTCCACAATTTTCTATTTCACTTTCCCCTAAATGTACATTGCCGTACATTGCACAAAAATAAGTAATTTTCCTATTTGATGCAGGGCATATAATCTATAATATGTGGAAGAATGTTGGAAGACGACCAATATTCAAAATGGTTGGCGAGGGAGATGATGTCAATGATCACAAGGTTTTTTTTCTTTTATTTTCTTCATTTTATTGCGAAGTAGACCTGCAATAACAAATTTGTTTATTTTAGCCGCGACCCTATCTTCGAATGGATTGGTCATCTTCAGCTATTGGGCTGTTCCTAGGTAGTTTTTCAAACAAATCCGCGATTTGATCTACGCACCAAACCAAATATCTGATTATTAATTACCAAACCACATAATTTAACCACTTATTACTAAACCATAATGGTATTAATTCCAAAACCATGTAGCTTAACCAATTTTTACCAAACCGAATATTTTAATTATTCATTACCAAACTAAGTAGCTTTACCATTTATTACCAAACCAAATGGTTTAATCATTTATTATCAAACCAAATAGTTTAACCATTTATTATCAAACCAAATAGTTTAACCATTTATTATAAAACCAAATAGTTTAACCATTTACTATCAAACCATATAATTTAACCATTAATCACCAAACCAAGTAGTTTCACTGTTTATCACCAAACCAAATAGTTTAACCATTTATTACCAAACCGAATAGTTGAATCATTCAATACAAACTAAAAAGTTTAGCCATTTATTACCAAACCAAATATTTTAATTAGTCATTACCAAACCAAATATTTTTATTAGTCATTACCAAACCAAATATTTTTATCAGTCATTACCAAACCAAATATTTCGATTATTTATTTCTCAACCAAACCAAACTTTTTCATTTAAAAACTGATATTGTTCGCCAGGACTGCTGGCCCTGGTGACCCTCACCATCACCTTGATCCTCTACTTTGCTCTGGTGAACCAGGAGAACTTCCACTTGATCGCAGTTCTCATGATCAACGTGAACGATACCATCATCAACTGCTTGATGGTCCTCGCCATCATTATCGGTTTTATCCAGATCAGGAACCTTCAGTTTGTTCAGGAACCGATTCAAACCATTCTAAACTAATCAGAGATTGGAACTTTTGAATCATTAATCTTTTCTGTAAGCATTTATCCTCATATTTTGTGGTTAATCCCCTCTAATAGATCGAGAATTACACTAATGAAATCTGAGTCTACTAAAGAACATCAACCAATCAAAAGCCAGGAAAAATCTGATCTTAGCCAATGAAAGTTTGCCCAAGTTTAGCTTCTTTTTACGGATTAAGCACTTCAGATGAAAAGTTTTCGTTGTGGATATTAAGATATTAAGACTCTAGATTATGCTTTTTGTATTTAAAAGTTCCGAACTTTATTTTGCCAAAAAAGTTTTAAGTGGAATCTGTTAGATTATAAAAATATGACTCAAGTTTTCCTAATAATAACTTTCAAATTTAAATTTTTAACATTTTAAAAATGATGGTTTTTGTTGCAGTCAGATAATGAGCATGATATTCTAATGATTATCAGTGCTTTTGGTATTTTTCTCTACGCTAGCTATACAGTCATTGCAGGTATTGTATTTGACACAGGGAGGAAAACTTAAGAGAGTCGCGTAAACAAAACTCCTGAGTTCCCTACTCTGGGGGTCAATGCATTTGCGTAGATTTTAATTTAAGAAATCAGGCAACAAAAAGATAATTTATAGAAACCATGTGAAATAATATTTTTTATTAAAAAATTGTTATCTACAAAACTGCCTCACCCTCTTCATGAAACCGGGTTTCCGAAAAAATATCTTTAACCATTAGGTTAGTTTAGGATTTGAAAGGTGACCAAACGACGGGGATGAAAGGGGGGGCACAGATTTTTTTCTTGGAAATTACCAATCTTTTTACTTGTGATTTAAAGTTTTTAGGATATCTGAAAAATAACTTCATTAGATATTCGGGAATATTTAATAATCTAACTACAGAGTGTCCCAATAAACATGGGAATTCAGTGACAAATTCGAAATCGTCTTTTTAAATAATTCTTTGATTTAGTATAGTGATACCTACTGAGATAGCTGTAATCTGTTAGAGTTTCTTCTGCTATGTTCACATTTTGTTTGTTTATGTTTTGACTGCATACGGTTGTAAAACAAGAAAATTGCAGTATACAGACAGAGTAAACTTGTCCGTCTTTACTGTTCATCTTGCGGAGACATTATAGACACATCTTTACAGCCATTGACCCTTTTCATAAAATAAATTCTAGCAGACATAATAATATTATGGCTTTTGAAATTAGGTATTACAATGCTAATTCATAACAAAGACGATATACAATTCCTCACTGAATTCTCATGTTTTTTGGAACACCTTGTAGATACTAATTTGCAATTTTTAACCAAATACTGATTTTTCTGGTTCTCGCTGTAGAACCTCTTATTCTATGATATCTTAATAACACAAACTCTGTAGAACCTGTTATTCTATGATATCTTAATAACACAAACACTGTAGAACCTGTTATTCTATGATATCTTAAAAACACAAACTCTGTAGAACCTTTTATTCTATAAATATCTTAATAACACAAACACTGTAGAACATGTTATTCTATGATATCTTAATAACACAAACTCTGTAGAACCTATTATTCTATGATATCTTAAGAACACAAACTCTGTAGAACCTTTTATTTTATGATATCCTAATAACACAAACTCTGTAGAACCTTTTATTCTATAAATATCTTAATAACACAAACACTGTAGAACCTGTTATTCTATGATATCTTAAAAACACAAACTCTGTAGAGCCTTTTATTCTATAAATATCTTAATAACACAAACTCTGTAGAACCTGTTATTCTATGATATCTTAAAAACACAAACTCTGTAGAACCTTTTATTCTATAAATATCTTAATAACACAAACTCTGTAGAACCTGTTATTCTATCATATCTTAATAACACAAACTCTGTAGAACCTATTATTCTATGATATCTTAATAACACAAACTTTGTAGAACCTTTTATTCTATAAATATCTTAATAACTCAAGCTCCGTAGAACCTGTTATTTTAGGATATCTGAGCACTAATTCCACAGAACCTGCTATTCTATTATATATAAGCCAAAATTTCGTAGAAATGATATCTAATGATATCTTTATGATATCTAAGCACAAACTCTGTAGAACCTGTTATTTTAGGATATCTGAGCAAAAACTCCGTAGAACCTGTTTTTTTAGGATATCTGAGCACAAACTCTGTAGAGCCTGTTATTTTAGTATATCTAAGCACAAACTCCGCAGAACCTGTTATTTTAGGATATCTGAGCACAAACTCCGTAGAACATGTTATTTTAGGATATCTGAGCACAAACTCCGTAGAACCAGTGATCCTCGTAATAGTTAACGGAATAACAGAACTTGTTCAGGTGAACACATTCTAACATTATTCCGAAGATTACATTATTGAGTTAATCCCAATAAAAGAAAAAGAATAAAGAATTGGAATTAATGGTATGGTATATCATCATTTATTACCTTAAAAATTTCTCTCAATTCCCTTTATTCTTTCTGTCCTTGACTCCCCCGGCTTGGGAAAAGCTAGTGGGGGGTAGTGAGAGCCAAAAGAATCTGGAAAATGAAGCTGAAATAAAATTTAAAAAAAGTGTTTTTTTTAATGCTGGTTGTTTCTGACTAAATCATTTATTTGGTTAATAGGGTATGTTTACTTTTGTCTCATGTTCATAAAAGTCATAAATTGAGTCTAAAAGTCGTCTTCCTATTCCAGAGTTTGTTGGTTCTTACTGTATACAAAAAGTAAACAAGGATTCCTTTAAATATTTAAAAGAAATTAAGAGAAATTTTTTCTTAAGCATTAACCCATTATTTACAACGGTTGTAGGCGATTATATCAATATAATAAAGACGACTTTACATTTTGATGTTATATCAAGTTTTTAAGCAGCATGAATACATGTATATTTCTTAATTCATTGGCGGTGAATTTTCGAACATTCCTAGAAAATATGAAAATGTCATCTTCATTATAAAAAATCTTCGAAACAGGAATAAATGTTTTCAAAAGTAACATGTATCAGATCATGCATCAGATCATGTATCAGATCATGTATCAGATCATGTATCAGATCATGTATCAGATCATGTATCAGATCATGTATCAGATCATGAGAAATAAAAAATATTATGAAATATCAACTTTATACGCAAATAATCGATCACTATTGGTTGTAATATTTGAATGATTTGTTTGGAATTAAATTAATATTTTGTTGTACATGTTGTTGTACATGTTGTTGTACATGTTGTTGTACTTGTTGTTGTACATGTTGTTGTACATGTTGTTGTACATGTTGATGTACAGGCTACAAAACCTGGTCGACAAATTGTTACATTTCTGATTTTCTGCAACCTTGGCTTTCAATCCTGACCAATCCTGACCAATCCTGACCAATCCTGACCAATCCTGGCCAAACCTGACGAACCCTGACCAATCTTGACCAATTCTAACCAATATTTTATGAATGTTGACCAATCCAGATCAATCCTGATTAATCCGGATCAATCCTGACCAATCCAAAGTAATTCTGGTCAATAAAGATCAATCCTGGCTAATCCAGATCAATTCTGACTAATCCAGATCAATCAAAACCATCCAATAATCAATCAAGACCAATTCTGACCAATATTATCCCAATCAATCTTCACCCTCCCATGAGCTATCTTGACCAATCAAGACCAATCCTTACCAATCAAGACCAATCTAGACCCATCCTGACCAATCTAGACCAATACTGATTAATCCAGACCATTCCAGATCAACACTGACCAACTTTGACCAACATTATTATCAATCCCGACCAATCCAGAACAATATCGACCATCTTGACCAAACCAGAAACATTTTTAAGGATCCTGACCAATCCAAAACAATCCTGACTAATCCAAATCAGTCCAGACCAATCCAGATCAATCCAGACCAGTCCAGTGGCCGAATTTAAAGAATTTGAGCGGCAGTTTAAATTTAAGCCGCGGCTTAAATATGGTTGGTTCCACTTAAAATTGTATCAAATGTTTCAAGATTTAAGCCGGCGCTAAATTTAAACCGGGTTTTGGCGGATTTTGGTGGATTTAAACCGCGGCTCAAATTCTTTAAATTCCATTTCTGATCAATCAAGACCAATCCAGATCAATCCAGACCAATCCAGATCAATCCAGACCAATTCAGATCAATACAGATCAATCCAGACCAATCTAGATCAATACTGACCAATCCAGACCAATCCAGATCAATCCTGACCAATTCTGAACAATATTATGAATAATTCTGACAAATCCTAAGCAATCTAGACAATTCTGATCAATCCTGACCAATCTTAACCAATTAAGAACAATTTTGACCAATCTTAATCAATTCTGACCAATATTATGATCAATCCTGACTCATCCAATGATCAATCCTGACTAATTTGAAATTTGATTAGGTAAACGCGACCCCTGATCAATTACAGTTTTATGGATTCTTTCCTTGGGTCATTATTCAGAGAATAACTCTTCCTTTATGCGTTTTCTTCAGGTAGAAATTTAGAGAAAATAAACAGGATGATGTGTTGATGACGACTTGATACTCTTTAAAGGGGCAGATTCCCCTTTGTCTAAATGAAGGATTAATGTGATAACGACGCTAATCATACTTTTTTTTTAAATTGTAATTTTATTAGATTTCATTCTACTGTTGTGTTTGCTGAGCTTTGGAAAAACTGTTATATTATTAGGAATATTCCTCTCTTTAATCAATAAAATCTAAAATTTTAAAAGAATTTAAGAACAATCTAAATGTCGTCTTCTTTGATAAAATTTATGAAAAGGAGGAATCTTAGAAGAGAGCAGAATCCTTAAAACAGCTGAAAACTTATTTATTCTTACTAACTTTGCATAATTTATATATTTATCAATTAAATTTTTATTCCATTTTGACAGAATTAATATCTTGTATATTTTCCTGTAATTTAAAATCTTCTGGGATATTATTTCTCATAATTGTCCTGGGACATTATGAAAACAATATCCCAGAAGATTATAAAATTACGTGTCTAAGATTTTCACTGAAAAAAAGCAGCTATAAGTTATTTCTAAATACATGCATAATATCAATTTTTAAAGCCATTTCAACTATGTACTAACAAATTCTTAATTTTTTAATAAATTTTGCGGATTTAAAAAAAAATTTTTGCGTTTTTTCGGTTTGAAAAGGAATAAAATATATGCAACTGCCCTGTGTACAGGGTTTCCCAAAAACATGGGAACTCAGTGACGAATTGGATATCGTCTTTGTTATGAATTAGCATTGTAATACCTAATTTCAAAAGCCATAATATTATCATGTCTGCTAGAGCTTATTTTATGAAAAGGGTAAAAGACTGCAAAGATGTGTCTATAATGTCTCTGCAAGATGAACACTGAACAGTACGGACAAGTTTACTCTGTTTGTATACTGCAATTTTCTTGTATTAATTACTAAGTACACCCTTATGCAGTCAAAACATAAACAAACATAATGTGAACATACAGGGTGTCCCACGAAACATGACAGTTGGTGAATAGTTTAAAATGTCTTCTTCCCTAATTTTTTTGTTTGATACCAAAGCTAGACAAAAATAAAAATATTATATGGGAGTCATGTTACAGTAAAATTGATTTAAAAGTAAAATATATTCAAGCAAAAGATTTTTTTAACGAAATAAACTACAAAAAGCCTTTAATATTTAATACAGTATATGGAAGACGACATTCATATCTATTTATCAATTGTCATGTTTCGTGGGACACCCTGTAGCAGACGAAACTCTTACAGATTACAGCTTTCTCAGTAGGTATCACTAGACTAAATCAAAGAATTATTTAAAAAGACGATTTCGAATTCGTCACTGAATTCCCATGTTTATTGGGACACCCTGTATAATTTGGAAAATTAAATCGTATTATAACACAAGGCAGTTTCAGAAATATATATAATTCACCCAAACATTATTGTATTTTTTTGCATCATATACTCTACGATCTTTTTCAGTTATATTCTTATTACATATGTTATACAATAAATTTGACAAAAAATAACTGACTTTTTGTCAACATGTTTGTCAACATGTTTGTCAACATGTTTGTCAACATGTTTGGTTTTCTTCTTGGATGCATCTGTTAGACATTTGTTGTCGGATAGCTGTAAGATTCTCAATAATGAACAGATAGACAAGGGATAACTCTCAAATCAAAACCGATAATGCAGAGAAGCTCTTTATTTCCTAAAAAATGAAATAGATAATAACATATAAATTATTACAATGATTTTATGAATTTTTATAATGGAAAGATTCTTACGATCTAATCAAGGATCTGGAGGGTTAAATCGCCGGAGAGAATCATAATTTCAAAGGAAACGTCGTTTTCATTGTGTTAATTAATGTAATTTTTTTCTTTATTGAGAAATTTTTTATCTTCAAAAAGGTTTAAATTTCCACCTCCCTAGGCCTTATGCCTGGCATGTGGTTAACTACTGTTTGTTTGATAAGAATTATACAGATGACTCTTAATAAGCACTAAACCAGTCTTCACCAAGCCTTACTGCTGCCTGATACAGTGGGAACATCAGTTGGGACTTGTGCCATCTGCTATTGGAGAAATTTTATACCAGGAGAACAGGAGAACAGGAGAACAGGAGAAATAGGAGAACAGGAGAACAGGAGAACAGGAGAACAGGAGAATAGGAGATCAGGAGAACAGGAGGACAGGAGAAAAAAGGAGAACAGAAGAACATGATATCAGGAGAATAGGAGAACAGGAGAACAGGAAAACAGAAGAAAGAATAGGATAACAGAAGAACAGGAAAACAGAAAACAGGAAAACATGAAAACAGGAGAACAGGAGAACAAGAGAATAGGAAAACAGGAGAACAGGAAAACAGGAAAACATTAAAACAGGAAAACAGGAGAGCAGAAGAACAGAAAAACAGATTTAAAAAGTTACCTGTACCGTATATTAGCCCTGTGGTTAGTATAGACTATCTCTTAGGTTTACCGTGTTCAAGTGATGACAGAGGTCGTTGTTTGATTGATCCAATGGCAACGCCGGCAAAAAAGTATATATAAGGTATATATATATAAGAGTACGCCATATGTCTTTACACTTTACATGTAAGCCGCAAGCGTTTACAGAATAGGCTAGACACTCAGGACCTCAGAGAATAGAGATATAACCAGTATATACTGGATACTTGAGATACTTCTAGTATATAATAGACACTAGAGATACATCTAGTAAATACTGGATACTAGAGATACATCTAGTATATATACTGGATACTAGAGATACATCTAGTATATACTGGATACTAGAAATACATCTAGTATATATACTGGATACTAGAGATACATCTAGTATATATACTGGATACTAGAGATACATCTAGTATATACTGGATACTAGAGATACATCTAGTATATACTGGATACTAGAGATACATCTAGTACATACTGGATACTAGAGATACATCAAGTATATACAGGATACTAGAGAATAGATATACATCCAGTATATACCGGATACTAGAGAAAAGATTTACATCCAGTATATACTGGATACTAGAGAATAGATATACATCCAGTATATACTGGATACTAGAGAATAGATATTCATCTAGTATATACTGGATACTAGAGAATATATATTCATCTAGTATGTACTGGATACTAGAGAATAGATATACATCTAGTATGTACTAAATACTTCTTCGGTTTTTTTTTCTTTTCTATGGGTATTTAAACCTCTCAATTTTCCATCGTCTATTATGAATTATTTTGTTTTACCCCTATCCCTTCTTCTGTCGTATGTTTCTTCTGCACTGTACAGGCTGTTGGATTTATTCTGTACTGGCTCGGTCCTTCAACCTGTGCTTGTTTCTTCTGCAGTGTACAGGCTGTAGAATTTATTCCGTACCGGCCCGCCGAGATAAGATTGGACTTCGACTGCTCTTCAAATAAAATCAGTTGAATTGAACGCACACAACCATTCGCTACTAAAGACCCCGGCGCAACCCACAGCAACACAAGGAACTAAGATCTAACTTAGAGAAAGGACGGAACGTGAATATTGCTGCACCAGTCATGGGAATAATATCTATTGAGAAAAAAGAGGTTTTGGAATTCTCTGAGATGGAGACGGTTGAGATGTACGACGTGGAGAAGCTCCGAAGTTTGCTCCCGGAGAAGGAGACGGAACTAACCCAACTGGAGATTATTCTACAGGCTATCCAATACATACAGGATCTTCAACAAGACCTGGAACGAAAATCCTGTGAGAAGATATCTCTGAAATCCTAGAGGAACGACAGATGAATGAAGGATGAATGTATTAACCCTATCTGTGATAAACCATCTTCTTGTTTCAAACTATCTCTACACTAATAAAATTATATCTATGTAATTAGCAAAATTATTTAACAAAAGATCAGGGTTACCCGTAAAGATTACGGTTTCAAAAACGACTGTACGGAATTCATGTAAACATTTAATAAAACTTTAGTTTTTATATTTTAGGTTCATTCGTCAGGGGTAATCCTGTGTGACTAACAGTAAAGATTACATTTGATGTAAAGAATAGATAAATGAAGTTGATAAGATAATCAATTAATGAAAAAATGAATATTTAGAATTAGAATTTTATATAATGAAAGCTGGGTTAGGAAAGAAATGAAAAAACAGAAAAAGAAGAGAAATAAGATTTTAAAAAAATATTTTAAAGCAGTAGAAGTAAGAAGGGGGAGGGGTGAAATAAATAAAAGAAGAAACCAAAATTATAATGTACAAAAAGGTCAATTAAGTAAGATTTACAATTCCGTATTTGGAAGAAAAAAATTAATTTCAATTAAAATAGGGGCATTCACAATTCACAAAGGAAACCTAAAAACCTTTATCTGTTCAATTATGTGAAAGATATCATCGTTTTCCTAGCTTTAAAAGTGTTGAGGTCTGAAAATTTTTGCTAAGTGTATCTGATACAGGAACAGAGAAACCACAATTGAAAATAACCAATTTATTTGGAGATCATGATTATCTTTGCATTTAGTCTTTATTAAACAATGCTTTTTATTATGAATGGGACGTGCCACTTTATAAATGGAGGGTCACTTAAAAATACGTTTACAGTCCCTTTAACATTTTATAAATTAAGATATTAAGATAAAGGAAGTGTTTGCCCAAAATGAAAATGGATGAAGCCAGGGGCGTAGTGGAGGTTTAGCCTAGGGGGGTGCACTTTTTGCGATTTTTTTTGTGTTTATAATTTATATTAATCTACCTGAATGAAGGCTGACTATTAGTCAAAGAAAAGTAAAAAATCTGAATATATGTGTAAATTTACTGTTTGATAAATTAAAGCCTGCCTCTGGCTCTAGGGGGGGGGCACAGGGGTACCGCCCCCCCACTGCGCGCCTGGATGAACCATAATTTATTCAAAAGTTGATTTGAGCAAATTTTTCAAATTTGAAATCTTATATGTCTTGAAGAAAATGTTTTTAATTAATAATATTTAATCATTTAAATTTTATTTTCTATTATTTGTACGTTAACTATAAACTAGAGAAGCTACTGGGTCACAAAGTCGTATCAGTAATGTTTCATGAATTTGGCCTTATCCTTCTGTCGAGTTTGCAATGAAAGTTCTATTTACAGAAACATCGAACAGAAATAATATTATGTATATTTTCATATCGGATTGAAATATTATCTTTGATATAAACTTTGTGAATTAAATACGCGTGCCCCCCCTGAGAGGCTGAGAGGGGGCACCCATGAGGGAGGCTCTTTTAATATTACATCTGCTTGCATTTCCCTTCCTCAGGCCAGGCACAGTGGCGTACCTAGGGGGCAGTAGTCCTGTTGCCCCCCCTGGGAGTTCCAGGCGGGGCACTGCCCCCCCTGTAAAATACAAAATTAAAAGGAAACTACGTTTAAAAAGTAACACCTGACAATGACAAAGACTAAGGATTTGTCTGAATTCATTGTTAATACAAGGAGAGAAAAGTTTTAGCCTTTCAAAGAGAATACTTCATTACACAAGATGTACTATGACGGAGAGCAGACTTAACGATCTTGCACTTAAAGCTTTACACCCTAAAAGGCTGTCTGAGCTCTCTACTGAAAAAATCATTGAAATGTTTGTGCAAGCAAATCCTGACATACTGTTGCCAAGGGGGGGGGGTACCCTAATATTGTGTCCCCCCCCTAAACAAAAGCCCTCGTACGCCCCTGAGTAGAGCAGATTGTAGAAGGTTTGAGTGGGATTGGAGAATGAAGTAAGAGAAGGTTGAGAAGAGAAGAACAAGAGAAGGATTGATCATAAAGAGATTAGAGCAGATTGTAGAACGTTTTAGTGGGATGGAAGAAGGTAAAAGAAGGTTGATAAGAGAAGGATTGATAATACAGAGAGTAGAGCAGATTGCAGAAGGTTTGAGTGGGATGGAAGAAAGTAAGAGAAGGTTGAGAAGAGAAGAAAGAGAAGGATTGATTATACAGAGAGAAGAGCAGAATGTAGAATGTTTCAGTGGGATGGAAGAAGGTAAGAGAAGGTTGAGAAGAGAAGAACAAGAGAAGGATTGATTATACAGAGAGTAGAGCAGATTAAAGAAGGTTTGAGTGGGAAGGAAGAAAGTCAGAGAAGGTTGAGAAGAGAAGAACAAGAGAAGGATTGATTATACAGAGAGTAGAGTAGATTGTAGAAGGTTTGAGTGGGATGGAAGAAGGTAAGAGAAGGTTGAGAAGAGATTAAAGAGAAGGATTGATTTCACAGAGAGTAGAGCATATTGTAGAACGTTTTAGTGGGATGGGAGAAGGTGAAAGAGAGAGAAGGAAAAGAAGGATTAATTTGAAGGATAAATGCATAGATAAATAAATAAACATAGATAGCTTATGTACGCAAAATCACCAAGAATTGTACAGTTCGCGAACTCATACTTCTAGGGGTCAAAGTGTACTTCAATGATAAGTGGGGAGGTATGGTGTTTTAATAGAATGTAAAATAACTCCGGGAATGAACTTATTCGAACAACAATATTTCACTGAGAAATATATCATATTGACGAAAACTGAAGAAGGACATGAGAAGGACTAAACTAACTTAAATTTCTCTCTACAGAACTCATGAACACCACAAGTACTCAATGACATAAGAACAGCCAAAGTTCACAACCGACCTAGTTAATCTATATAATAGGAATATCTTTAAAACATCTCTGTACATTTATATCTTTCAAGATGAAAAATGTCGTCTTATGCGCAATCTATCTTTATCTATGGATAAATGAGATATCCTAGTTTTTCTATCTCAACATCAATTATTTTCAGTTACTAAAATGAAGAAAATTGTCAGAAGATAAACAAAGGTATCTTGATTTAAAGCGTACCATTGTACCAAGGGTACTGCTGTACTGAGGGTCACTTGAAATTATACGTAATGTCCCTTTAATACGGAAGGAAGGAAGGAACTAGAGTCATGAATCGTGAAGTTTTCTTAAAACAAATTTCTATAAAGTTAAGAAATGAAGATGATTCCGATATCTGTTGTATTTATCTTGATAAAGATTCCATTCCTTCACAGCTGTTGGGTAATCTGTCCAATAAAATACGTGGTATTGGAAAACACGCCATGTGTTGTGGACCCTGTGCAGAGAGCATGTGTTTATTAGGGGGGGGNGGGTGTACTGTCAAGAAGATCAAATAGGTGGAATTTAGCGGATTTCGTCTCTGGCTCGGATTCTGTAATTTTTTCCATCCTTTCTCTTACTTTTGTAATTTAAGGTTTTTGTTCATTTAGGGGGGTTTGCAGTTTTCGAAGGTTTCTGGGGTTCTTTGTTAGGATTTAGATTTGATTGATAACTTTGAGTTCAAGTGAATAAGTGATAGTAATCCAAAGGTTATTGCTAACTTTTGAGTTTAAGTGAATAAGTAATAGTGATCTAAATGTCTAATCTTTCACTCAAAAATCAAAAAGAATTTCGCCAATTACTTCTAAAAATCTCAAGCTAAAAAATTAGTTCTTTATTGTTCTAAAATGTATACGTCTAGAGCTACAAAAAGTGTAGTTAGTTAGTAAATCAAAGGCTGAGGTGTTATTCTCTCTTTTTTCATTGGTCGAAAACTCAGAGGTTCATTCATTCAAACCGATTTTTAATTAATTCCAAAAATTCAAAAGGTTTAAGCTCCAGTTTCAGATTAAAAAGCAATTAAGTCTTTGCCACAAACACTGATTTTCTAATCACTATATCTTTGCGACCAGATGGTGTAAAATTTTATATTTAGTGTAATTAAATTCATAGTTTAAAACGTCTTTGACATCAGGTTGCAAAGCTGTAAGGATTAGCCAATTAAATTTTTATGCGAGTAATTAGTTCCTTTATTCACCTAAACCTTCTGGTGTGTACTGCAGTAATTTGCAGTACACTGACCGAAGAAATGACAGGTTTTAGTGGAGGAGGGTGTTTTATTTACAATTTGAGATTGAGATATTCTCCTGTTAAATTATAAACTGTTGAATCTAGTTCTAAATCCTGATCTGAATGTAAGAGGAATTCAATTTCTTGAAGTTTAAAGAAACAAAGCCTCTTAATTCAAGGATTAAATTCTATTGGCGGAATTCTAAAGATTCCTGACAAAAAAATTACAAAATCGAATTTAGTCATAAACGGGGAATACATCAAAACGACGGTATGAACGTAAAAAATGTGATCTCTCGGTGATCAGTCAAGAGTTTTTTTTCGTTGATTTGTACAAAACGAAGATCTAAAACTNCTACAATGAACAACCGTCCTACAATGAACAATCGTCCTAAAATGAACACCCAATTCACTAAGAACACCCGTCCTACTATGAACACCCGTCCTACTATGAGCACCCGTCCTACAATGAACACCCGTCCTACAATGAATACTCGTTCTTCAATGAAAACCAGTCCTACAATAAATACTCGTCCTGCAATGAACACTAGCCCTACAGTGTACAACAGTCCTACATGGTTCAACCGTCCAAAAATGAACAACCGTCCTACAATGAACAACCGTCCTACAATGAACAACCGTCCTACAATGAACAACCGTCTTACAATGAACACCCGTCCTACAATGAAACAATGAACACTCGTCCTACAATGGACACCCGTCCCACAGTGTATATACCTGTTCTACTATGAACATCTGTTCTACAATGAACATCCATCCTACAATGAACATCCGTCCTACAATGAACATCCGTCCTACAATGAACACCCATCCTTCAATGAACACTCGTCCTACAATGAACCAATGAACCCCCGTCCTATAGTGTACAACAGTCCTACAGTGTATATACACGTCGTAAAATGAACACCCGTCCTACCATGAACACCCGTCCCACAGTGTATATACCTGCCCAGGCGCGTACACAGGATTTTAGCCAGGGGGTGGGAAGATTGGAATTGTTTTGTTCAAAAAGTCAATTAACACCATAAAAGTACACTAAAAAGACTACATTTTTGAGTGTTACTAACCTTATAAAGTATAAAATTTATTCTAAAATTTATTCCTTTGCTCGAAAAACTAACTTTAACTTTTTAACTTTATAAATTTATAAATTTATCACTTAACTCCATCACAGTTAACTAAATCAATAATCACAGCATCATAAAAAATTATGTTTTCACTAATAAACGAAATTTCTTCTGAAATTTGTAGATATAATTTTACTCCATCTACATATTCACCAACTCTTTTAAGCTTCAATTTTCTTGGATTTGCTTGCACACACATTTCAAAGATTTTCTCAGTAGTGAGCCATAAGTGCAAGATCGTCAAGTATTCTCTTTTGAAGGCTAAAACTTCTCTTTCCTTCATTCGATGTTATTGTCATCATTGCATAAAGGGAACTTGAAATTACGCTTAATATCTCTTTATGGAAATAAAGGAATTGAGTCTTTGCCACAAACTCTGATTTTCTGATCACTATATCTTTGGAACCAAATGTTGTAGACATAGATAAATAAATAAACATAGATAGCTTATGTACGCAAAATCACCAATAATTTTACAGTCCGCGAACTCATACTTCTAGGGGTCAAAGTGTACTTCAATGATGAGTGGGGTGGTTTAGTGTTTTAATGGATTTCATAATTATTAAACCACTCAGGAGTGAATTTTATTTTGAGAATATCAAATTATGGGGGGGGGGGTTGAGGTAGAACAAGAACATTTAAGGGTTATAGCTCAATTATTTTTAAGTTCTGAGGCATTTTTGATTTTTCCTCTGGCTCTGTAAAAAAATGACTTTTCTAAAAGTCAAGAAGTGTCAGGTTAAATATTTCAAAAAAGAAAAACCTATTTGATAAAAAATGTTTTTGCCAAAGACTCAAATTCATGTCGTTTTAAATATAAAGGCCATAAAGTTGTAAAGATATACGGCTTAAAAATCATAAGTTTCATAAATGATAAAAAAAGTCCATAAACCTAGATTTAAAAACTTTGTGCACAATGACATCAAACTTTTATCGATAAAAAAAATTAGTCTACAATCACAATCACTGGTTTTAAAAAAGAATAATCTTGCTAAGCAAACGATCGGAGAGCTGCAATGATATTTATCTCTACAATCCGAATATTTTAACTTATTTATAACTCTTTGAAACAACTCCTCCAGAATTTTACTTGCTGAACTGTGAAGAAGGTTTATAGTTTCCTCTATTTATTACATCTTCCATCATGTTATAAGCATCTAATATGTCGATGTTTTGTTTTTGCAAAAGTTTTAGTTTAAAGTATCTTAAAAGTTTGTGTTAACAGTGAATTTAGACAAATCCTAAGTCTTTGTCATTGTCAGGTGCTACTTTTTAAATTTGTTTCCTTTTAATTTTGTATTTTCCAGGGGGGGGCAAGAGGACTACTGCCCCCCCCTATGTACGCCACTGAACACTGCACAATTGGTGTGTCGGCCCATGCTCATTAGACTATATGTAAAGTATGTAACTTGGATCGAAAAGTCATCTTCCTATTCCAGAGTTTTCTGGTTATTACTGTAAGTAGAAATTTTTCATTTCAAGCGTAAGAAGAATCAAAATCTGAAGTTTAGTTGTAAAATGCAAAAATGCCTTGAAGGTCGTCTTTTCCATGGCGTCTTTTCCAATAAAAAATACTTAAATTTGTTGAAAAAATCCCTTTATAAATTTTGATATTTAAAAATTAACACTGGTATAAGATTTGTCACATTCTTTGGCAGAAATGAATACAACATTTGTAAAATAATTCAAGGGAAGAATCCATGTCATAACTAACATAATTATGAATGAGCTTGATCGATCATGACTGGTAAAGAGGTTTTGATGGATAAATTGCCAGATGAATTGTACTTTTTTATCAAACTATAATATCTCTAGAAACCTTATAATATATTAATCTAACTAGAAAGGGTTGATTCATGAGGTTTGGCTCTAGTTGCCCAGAGGTGGGCCCGGTACTTGAAATGAACCACAGCTTACAGTGGTACTGAAGTTTATTGTATTGTAGACCGGGTGCAAAGATGTGCCATGATTCCCATATTAAAAGCCCCTTTCATAAAGAAATGCGGTCAGGGGCGTTAACAGGAATTTTTCCACGGGGCTTAATATTTTTTCTTTCAAGGGGGAGGGGCTCAGCAACAGTTGCCCCCTATGAGTATGCCTAGCTCTGGCTGTGCCAGAGAGATAAATGGGGTGGGGGAAGCACTAATGCCGGGAATTTCCAATTTTACGCAAATATGCGAACACACAAATTCCCTCTTTAGATGTTTACACTCCATATATAGAGTAGCATATAGTTTGCACAGTATTATATACACATCTCTCAAGTGTACTATGCTGTACTATTCTTAAAATAAGTACAATAAACGGTACATTGTTTATATAAGGATCTACAAAGATATGAGCACATAATGGTCTCCTACATATTTCTATCTTTCAAATATAAGCTTTTCTATACTACGTTTTTCTTTAATCAGAATAGTATTGTTAGTATGAGCGACTAAACGGAACATTAAACATTAATTGCGTTTTTGCATATGACGTCCTTATTTTGGTAATACACGGTAACAATGATTTATTTGATAAATATAGATAGTCAGATAGATAGATAGATAGATAGATAGATAGATAAACATTGGTAAATGTTTCTATTAGGGGATATTTTATTCTCTCTCCTTCCAATGATAAAAGTACCAGTGAGTCATAACAGTGACATATATCCAGGATTTGCCGGATTTTATTTCTCTACCCTTGGATATAAAAATATAAAGTGTCCGTCAATACTTTCTAAGAACACTTTTTTATTTAATTTGTATTTCTTGGCTTCTTCATATTAATTTTTAGAAAAAAATAAAAATTTAAAAGTTCACAGATTTTTCTATTTTTATTGGTGGATTATGAATGCTGGACTTGTTCACGAACTCTGGTGTGATACCACAAACTGTGCAGTGGTGTGATACCACAAATTGGAGTTACTGACCAGTTTAAATATGCCACTGTCAAATGTACACAAACCCTATCTCTCTACCTTTATTTTATTTATTTTACATAATAATTTAATGTTTGTACTTCTAGGTATTCCGAGGGAGATACTTTAAATGTTAACTGTACTGCAGAAGATACTAAACCCCCGGTCAATCTAACCTGGTACATAAACAGTACACCGGTATGTACACATTGAAATTAGTTTGAAATTTTGCATACTTTCTGAAGAGCTGTTGATGAGAAAAAACAAGTTTTTAAATTTATATAAACAACAAAACATGTGTGCTTTTGTCACTTTTTGGGGTTCAAATACGAGGTCACAAAGTCGTACTAGTAATTCCGCAAACATGAACTGCTTCCTTTTGTTGAGATTGGGCTCCATTGAATGTTTCCATTATAGTTTTAAATCCTGCAAATTAACGTTGATTTTAATTATTTTATGAAAACAAAATCAATCATTAGAATTATTTTTTGGTGTTGCAAGCACAAATGTAATAAATAGATGAGTTAGCATGATTAACAGAAGTTGTAAAAGTTAATGATCAGAAATGAAAAAAAATAAGAATTAGATCTTATTTACTTTAAACAATCTGTTTTCTTTGAAAATATCATTTCTTTTATAAATTAAAAAAGATGGTTTTAATCCTGTTAGGTTGGAGAACCCATGTTGATCAGGTATCCAGTTTGGAATCTAACCAGGAACCAGGATATGCTTCATTCATCAGTATTAGGACTCAGATATAAAATACACAGGTCAGTCAAAAACCGGATTTTTTGTAAACAACTCTGGTGAACAAGTACAGTGTACTGCTATTTTTGAACGGATGGTCACTAGAAGCATGTTTTCAGTTAAATACTGACTTTACAGATAAACTGACCAGCTTAACAGGTAAATGATCACTTAAACAAACCTGTTTCTCAAGTAAACATGTCTGTTTCTCAAGTAAACATGTCTGTTTCTCAAGTAAACATGTCTGTTTTGTACTAAGCAGAGAACCAATAAAGGCAGATTTTACGCCCTCCATCGGCTTCCTAAGTAAATGTAAAGGTAAATAATTTTTTGGAAGATTTTGAGAAAACTAGCACGCTTTCCGTGTACGGTTGTTGACTTTAAAAGTCACTATAGTAAAATATTGAGATCTAAAATGGATATTTCTAACATTTATTTATAAAAACGAAAGTTTTGAAATATTTGCACATAAAGCGGAGTTTAAATTGGTTGATTTAGAAATTAACAAAGGAATTAATGATGGATATTTGATGGCACTTCATGGGAGTGTTGTAGAGCTTCATGTTGGTGGAGCAGATCAACAGGAACTGGGACAACAGGGCTTATCAATGGAACTATGGCAATGCAACTCAAGATAGCGGAAACTTCGGTCGGAGCCGGGCACAAGTTTCCTAAGTAAGCTTCTCAAGAAGTTAATAGGGTTATCAGAGGTATAAGCACGCCTGCTGTTAGCTCAGTATCTGCATCATCAGCATGAAGGAGTCAAGAGGCTCCCTGTGTTGGAGCTGTTACCAGCCCAACTCTTCTAACCTGACTGAGGGCTGGGGTGTGTAGAGGGTGAGGCGGGGAATGAAGGAGCGAGGGTTACATGTGTATGCTTAATGGCGGAAATGGATTGTGTGTATACACACATCTTGAGAAAAGTTGACGGCAATTGAGTCAGTAAAATCGTCTTCCTTATATTTCGAATTTGTGTTAACAACGGTATAGTGTACACTTCACTTGTGTACAATGTAGTGTGCATTGAAGAGTGTAGAGTGTACACTGTACAGTTTACAGTGTAAAATGTTAAGGTTAGAGTGTAATGTATAGAGTGTTCATGCACAGTGTACAGTGAATAATGTGCTGTCTCTGTTTAAGGATGACTATCGTGTGATGTGTTAATCCTTTACAATATCAAGGTTTCTGTGTATATAGATAAGCTGTACTTGTTTTTAATCTCATATATTTTTAATCTTTTTCCAACAGGTTGTTATTGTACCATTAATTTCCTTCTTGTCTCTTTTAAACTCTCCCTTGAGAGTTACCAGCACTAATAGGTATATCTAGCGGAATATAGGAGAGTAACCAACACTAATAGGTATATCTAGCGGAATATAGGAGTGTACCTAGCAAAAGCTAAATATCTTTTCTTGATTACATTAATTAAATCCTCAATAGGAAAATAGAAATATTTGATGGTTTGGAAAAATCGTCTAGTAAAATATATAAAATATCAAAATTTCTGAACCCTGTCTCTAATCTTTGATCTTCTCCCAGGTTTATCTCATATTATAATCCTTTAAGAAACCTTTTTCGGTTTATCCTTGGAGGATCGAGACTGGATTCAGATAACGTTATCCTCACTTTTATCCTTTCCAATAAATCCTAACTTTATATCCAGAAACTGGAATATAGAAGGGGAGCTTACAACCTTTTTATTCCACTTTTTCTTAGTTCTTGGACAAATATATATTCTCTTTACATAGTTTTTAAATAGACTAGGCTATCAAGCTGCTTCAAGCCCAACTTCTATTTTAAATTTTAATTGTTGCTCAATCATCCAGCATTTCTGCTCGATAAAACAATCATAAAAAAATTGCAGATTTACAACTCTGTCTTCGTGGATTTTTAAAATTATACAAAAATCCGAATTTTTTTTAGTTCTGAGCATCCATAAACCTTTCCTTGGGTCATGTGAGGTCCCACACAAAATTTGGTCCCGATCGGATACAAAAAACAGACAGACAGAACAGCAAAGTGTATAACTGATTCATAGGAAAAAATACTCATTAATACGCAGTTTAAAGATTTTGTATATCTATATACTTATTCTTGTACACAAATCATATGCTCCGTCTGTGGAAATCTATCTACGGATCAATTTATGTTCTGCTCCGATTGTGGAATATCTATCTACGGATCAATTTATGTTCTGCTCCGTCTGTGGTTTATCTATCTATGGATCAATTTATGTTCTGCTCCGTCTGTGGTTTATCTATCTACGGAACAATTTATGTTCTGCTACGATTGTGGAATATCTATCTACGGATCAATATATGCTCTGCTACGACTGTGGAATATCTATCCATGGATCAATATATGCTCTGCTACGATTGTGGAATATCTATCTATGGATCAATTTATGTTCTGCTACGATTGTGGAATATCTATCTACGGATCAATATATGTTCTGCTACGACTGTGGAATATCTATCTATGGATCAATATATGTTATGCTACGACTGTGGAATATCTATCTACGGATCAATTTATGTTCTGCTACGATTGTGGAATATCTATCTACGGATCAATATATGCTCTGCTACGATTGTGGAATATCTATCTATGGATCGATTTATGGTCTGCTACGATTGTGGAATTTCTATCTATGGATCAATATATGCTCTGCTACGACTGTGGAATATCTATCCATGGATCAATTTATGTTCTGCTACGATTGTGGAATATCTATCTATGGATCAATATATGTTATGCTATGACTGTGGAATATCTATCTATGGATCAATATATGCTCTGCTCCGTCTGTTGTTTATCTATCTGCATGGATTGAAAAAGTTCTGCTCCGTCTGTGATATCTATCCATGTATCAGTGAATGTCTGGTATGTAATGATCCTTTCTCCTGGTCCGTCTTACAGCAGTAGAACCAGTAGAACCATTTCCGCCCAGCACCCCCATTCTCCCTCTTAATAACAAACATCATTTCTTCATTATATTATCTGTATAGTTTATCTCTATATAGGCTCCAAGGCGTATTCTAATAAAGGGATTGTCCAGGAATTTCAAACATGGGTACAACAACAGTGAGACGCATAAAAACCGTGGAATAGGAAGACGACTGTAAGACTCAATTTATGATCACAGAAATTGTAGACAATTAAACTTAAAAAATAATTTACAAGCTACTTGTAAAACCATTTTATTTTAAATAGTCATAATTACATATGAAATTTCTTATATGTCGTCATCCCATTTCACAGTTATGTGGGTTTCACTGTATAAATAAATTTGTTCAACCTACCTAAAAATCTGATAGAGTCTTCAGTATTAATATGTGAAAGCAGGCATGTGCAGCTCAATTTCATATTGGATGGGCCTGTTATCTTTATGCTTATAATATCTTTTTCATAGGATTTTATAAAACTTTGATAAAATCTCAAAAAACAAATTTTACAAATGTGTATCAAAATCTAAGAAAAATGAAAGGTTGCGAATGATGACTTCATAAAAGAATTATATACATATATAATTTGGATTCACTAACAGAACAAAATATTCCAAAGTGAGAAGATTTTTTTTTTACTGGCAAAAATCCCCCCAAATCCCAAAAGTACATTTTTTCACTCTCACTTACACTCGTTACTTAGTCTGCTTTAATTCGTTAATTTTTATCTGCTTTTTATCCTCATAATTGGGATCTTTGGTTCTCTCTAGACCTTCAAAACTTTCCCCCTTTATATTTTTAACGTTTAAAAACTCGTTATCTCTCATTTTTAAACATTTTTCCTTCTGTTCAGCTCTTTTATTGTAAGGTTATTTTTTTTCGGCCTAAACTTTATTTAAAAAAATCTTTTCTTTTGTTTTTGTTTATTTTTAAAGACCAATTAATTAGATCCTTTTACTTAGTTTACGTTGTTTTGTTGTATCATATCATTTCTATTTTGTATCTTGTATTGTTCTAAATATATAAAGATTGCAGAAGAACAGTTTCTTGGATTTATTTTCTAATCCCAGTTTACTTTCTGTAAACAACGGTTCCATCCAACCATTAGACGTGCTCTTTTCTTATCCCGGAGAAACCCAACTCCGCCCCCTTTCTCCGTCCCAGGATATGTCCTATGCTCTGCCTCTATTCATTCCTTGATTGAACATGATGGGAGGGAGAAACACTATAAAGATTACGGTTCCCCCTGGATATCAAGGATTGATAGACTAGGAGAACATTCTTCTCAACAAATGGTTTTCTAATACTTTATTTTTTTTCCTTCTCCGATTCCATCATTAGGTTTGTCTTGATGAGATTAATGATATTTGTCTTTAGCAAATCTGATTGTTTTTCCGGAGAACAAAACCATCCCTCTCTCTTCTCTATCTATTTATCTTCTATATTTACTGTCCACTCTGTTTATTTGCCTTCTTCAAATATCATATCCATCCTGGTCAAAAAGTACAGGTCTACCCACAAAGGATGAGACTTTAGAGTTTATATTCTGTATTTCCTTACATTTATGGTTCTCTGCAACAGTGTAAGGTGTTTCTTTCTTTGCCAAATCATTAAAAAAGCCATAAAAAGACTATCTTTAAGGCAGACGACTTAATCTAACCTTGCTTTAGTCGTATTTAAAGAGTTTCAGGTCGTCTTAACAGTATCATACTTTGCGGGTAACCCTGAACAGTGTATAAATTTTGATTTAAATGCATAGTTTGCATAATTTTTCAATCTTATCTCTTTGCCCTAACATTTTTTATTCCTATACATTTTAAGTTTTTATAACTTTTCCTTGAAACTTCTTATTCATTCTTTGCCACAAACTCTGATTTTCTAATCCCTTTATCTATACAAACCAATGTGGTTGTCCTTAGATATTTCAAACTATGAATTCTGTTGGGTCACAGAGTCTAATTTTGAAATAGCAAAGATTTACACCATCAGGTTGCAAATATAATATAAAGTGATTAGAAAATTCTTACTCATCATTTTTTCAATTTTCTGGAAGTTAAGTTTACTTCTTTTTCGTTTGTCTTACTCAAACCTTCGTCATTTCTTCCCAATTTTTCGAATATGTACGTAAACTTTTTGGATTTAAAAGTCACGAGCTTAGGATAAACAAAAGTCAGCAAGTCAAGCTAAATATCATGGAAAATACAGCATTTTGAAACTTATTAAAAATTGTCTGCTAACAGTGGTATTTCCTCTAGATTTAATGTTAAATGACATGGCCCTGAACTATGTATTTAATTACAAAAGAACATTGATTTAAAGTTAATAGACTTTAAATTCAATTAAAAAAGCACTTTTCGAAGATTTACAAATACCATTTTTTTGTAGGCGAGACTTTGTTGACGATAACTCCCGGATTAAGCTGAAGTGTGTAGCGTCTATGTACAACGTGTACTACAAGGCAAACGAGATATCAGCTGAGAGATCAGCTGATCAGCAGTACACTACACATTCTTACAGAAATAGGGCCGGAGATTTAACTACACTAGGTAACATTGTTCTGAGTACAATTAAGGTCTGGGAGAGGAAAATGTTTTATAATTTTTGTATTGTAACTTTTAAAGACTGTACTCTTTGCTAAAAGCAACTATTTCTTTAGTCCATGTGCTGCTATTTACTGCAATACACACTGAATGCTTAAAGTCAGTAACTGTTAAAAACTGATTTCCCGCAGTCCTAAATACGTCACAGTCAAATCCTAAAATAAACAATCCTTTGATAATGATAATAATAATAATTATAATAATAATAATAATGATAATAATAATAATTAAAATAATTATAATGGTGATAAAAATGATATTAATAATGATAATGTTGATAATAATAATAATAATAATAATAATAACAAAAATAATAATAATAATAATAATAATAATAATTTTAGACCCATATAACGACGCATCTGTCAAGTTTTCCAGCTTCCTGAGCAGTGGAACATCTGAACCCTGGTCTTTCTACCTTCAACATTTATTATGCTTTTCTATTATTCAAAATATTATTTAAACATTATATAAAAATATTGTTTGATGAAAGGGACTGTTCGTGAAATTCGAGTGACCATACATTTAAGAAATTAACAGTGAGTAAGATATCGTCTTTTATCAACTTTTTCTTGTTTCGCTGCAGAAATTGTGAATAAAAATTTAAAATTTTCAAATAGAAAAACAAGATTATCTCTGACAAAGGAGTAAAGGGTATCGTCGTGAATTGGGCATGCAACTCTTCACATGGATCGAGTCATTTTAAATTACATGTACAGTCCCTTTAAATTACATGTACAGTCCCTTTAAAAATACGAAAATCAACTTTATTGTTAATTATTATTCATTATAAAATGTAGATACTTGTATAAAAGAAATATATCCACTGATTGACTTTTTACAAATGTCAAGTTTATTTTTTAGTTTGGCTAGAATTTGTCTCACTCTTCAAATTCTAGAGTGAAGGATATAATACTAGATTAAAATAAGATTTATTTAAATCGATATAAATATTTTTTTTTTGATTCGACAGAAGAAAATAAATATTGAACATGGCACCCTGAACTAACGAGAGAGAGAAGCATTAGGTTTCTTTTATTTGAAATCAAACGTGTTTTTGTCTATAACTCAACAGTCTTTAGACTTACAGATTTGTTTGTTTTATACTTTTTCATGCAAAATGTATATGCCAACAAAAATACATTTATAATAAAATGCTATAAAAGTATGTAAAAGGGGTCAAATTGTGATCGAAAGTCACAGTTTTCTGAAATATTGACAGAACCGTTAAATCCACGTGATGGTATTTTGAATGTAGGTTGCATGGCTGCTACAGGAATAATGATCTCTCTCCCATCTCAAGATTTTCTATTTTAAAGTTCAAGACATAGGTTTCCATTTATCTTGTTATATTCAGCTTCCCCCCTTGAGAAGGATCAGCTTGTATCCGGTATCCAGGTTCTTACCATGAGTAGGTTCAATTTGAATCCGTTATCTAGGTTCCTCCTTGTGTGGGTTTAGCTTGTATCTGGTATCCAGGTTCCTCCTTAAGTAGGTTTAGCTTGTATGTGGTATCCTGGTTCGTCCTTGAGTAGGTTCAGCTTGTATCTGGTATCCTGGTTCCTCCTCGAGTAGATTCAGTTTGTATTCGGTATCCAGGTTTCTCCCTGAGTAGGTTCAGCTTTCATCTGGTATTCAGGTTCCTCCCTTGAGTAGGTTCAGCTTTCATCTGGTATTCAGGTTCCTCCCTTGAGTCGGTTCAGCTTGTATCTAGTATTCAGGTTCCTACCTTAAATAGATCAGCCTGTATCTGGTGTCCAGGTTCCTCCTTTGAGTAGGTTTAGCTTGTATCTGGTATCATGGTTCCTACCTTGAGCAGGTTCAGCTTGTATCTATTATCCAGGTTCCTAATTTGAGCAGGATTAACTTGTATCTAGTATCTGCAGTTCCTACCTTGAGTAGGTTCAACTTGTATCTAGTATCTGCAGTTCCTACCTTGAGTAGGTTCAGCTTGTATCCAGTATCCAGGTTCCAACCGTTAGTAGGTTTACTAAGTATCTGGTATCCAGGTTCCTCCCTTGAGTAGGTTCAGCTTGTATCTGGTATCCAGGTTTCTCCTTAAGTAGGTTTATATTGTATCTAGAGGCGAGGTTTATCAAGGTTTGAGAATATTTCCTGAGTAAACTGATCCTACACCCATTATTCATCTTTAATATATTCTTATCTTGGTAGAACTAGACTTTAGAACATACACTTAATATTGAAGTTTATGCTCACAGCAGCTAGAGGAACTAGAGGAACTAGTGGAACTAGAGGAACTACAGGAACTACAGGAACTACAGGAACTACAGAAACTAAAGGAACTAGAGGAACTAAGGGAACCAGAGGAACTAGAGTAAATAAAGGAACTAGAGGAACCTAAGAAACTAGAGGAACTATAGGAACTAGAGGAACTAGAGGAACTAGAGTAACTAGAGGAACTAGATGAACTAGAAGAACTAGAGGAAATAGAGGAACTAGAGGAACTAGAGGAACTAGAAGAATTAGAGGAACTAGAGGGTCGAAGGAATATTTGGTACTGTTATTGGTATATATAAAGATTTTATCTAGAAAAGTGTTTATTTGGTTTGGAATATTCAGAAACAAATTTGTAGTTTGTGCGCTAGAGCTGAAAACATTGGGAGAATATTCGTAGCAATAAATGTCCGAAATGGGAACACATATTTTTCAAGGACGAAGAATTTAAATATCAGCCACATTACCACATAACATGCGTGACGAACAGAAAATGTTGTAAAAAAAACTTTTAAAATGATTTCCCCCTCCCAAAAAAGAGTTCATTAAAAATATTAATTTGTTTTTATGATCTTCGTTCTTTTTTTGCGGGTGGGTTGGGGGGATATTAGCTCATTAATTTGATTTTTCTTCTCCATACATAAAAAAAAAAACACTTTAATACAATAAACGTCAAAACGGCTGAACCAATCGGACTCAATTTTTTTTTTATGGCAACTCACATGACTTCAAGGAAGGTTTATGGACTGTCTAAAATTAACACCTTGCTCAAAAAAATTGAATATGCGACAATTGAAATAGAAAAATTCGCCAAAATTTAAGAATGATTAAAAATGGCCACTTTCAAAGATAAAATTGTTCAAAGGAAAGGATGCACGAAGCGCTCTTTAAACCTAGTTGAATAGAAAACCGCAGAGAGTTTTCAATAAAATCTGAAAGCTCAAGTATAAAGATAGAGTTTAGAGAATAAATATTTCCAATCCTGTATCCGTAGAATCCTAGATTCTAGATCCTGGATCCATTGAGTTCAATTGTCTGTAAAATAGAATTATGTCGAGTGCACAGAACCTATAATTCTTTTAAACTCATGGAACGTATATTTATATATCAAGACATTTAGATATTTGAATATTTGGATATTTAGTTATTATTAGATATGTAGATATTGAAATATTTGGACATTTTGATTTTAGATATTTTTGTTTTTAGATATTTAGATATTAAGACATTTATATAATTAGATATATTTTATGCTTCAAAACATTTAGATAGATATTTAGATGACATTTAGATATTTAGATATTTAGATATTTAGACATTTAGACATTTAGATATTTAGATATTTAGATATTTAGATATTTAGATATTTAGACATTTAGATTTTTAAATATTTAGATATTTTAAAAAACTATTGTTTTTTTAAATGAATATTTTTTTTAAAAACTATTGATTATTTTTACGAAAAACAATCGTTTCTTTTTTCGTTTTAAATTCGTCGTTTTTAAAACAAAATGATTGATTTTCAAAAAAGTGGAAAGGATCCATCCCTAGCGTATAAGAATATATGAAAATGAGCATTGTGTAGATTTTTCATTTCTTAAAAAATTTGATAATAACTATATCGAGGCATAGTTGTGAAACAAGATAAAGTATCGGGGAAAAGATTTTAAATTATCGACAAAAGTTTGACTTAAGTATGCATGCACTTCTGAAATTAGTTTATTTTGTTTCGCCTCGAGCTTAGGGTTGTCCAAATAAAGATATAAAGATTTAGGGATGTTCAAAACCCGTATAGTTTTTAAATTTTAAGAAACAGTTTTTAAACTGAATGTGATTTTATACAGAAAGAGGAACTATTCCTCCCCCCCCCCTCTCGGTCAAACTATTTATCTAGGAATACAGAATAGAAAAATATATATCAGAGTGGAATTTAGTCAACCCCTCGGTATGAATTTTGTCAGTCCCTTTCAGCCTGAAAGGGAGTTCAAAGTGTACAAATCATGAAAATGTTCACAAATTGTATGCAGTAGAGTCCATTAATAAAGTATGTTCACTATACTTTCCATTTCAATTTCGAATTTTTAAAAGCTGTTAATTAAACTTTATAGAACGAATTAGGTGAATAAAAACATTTGATTTATAGTTATAACGGAAAATCATCGTTTGTAAAGTGGAAGGCATAGAGTCTATATAAATGATCATTGGTCAATTATGAAACCAGCCTTTTTAATAATTTGGTTTTCTTTTAATATTAATTTTAGATTTTCTATAAAATGATGTTCCAGGGCCCAAAAGTTTACATAGCACAAATATGTGAAGTACACCTGCAGTATGGAAACAGTACAACAAAATGGCCGTTTTACACTTTTTTCTAGTAAATTCCATTCTAATATACATTCTATTCTCTTTGAGAAAAATATACCAAACATATTTGTAAATATATTGCCAAGAAAAAGACTAAATTACCGCCTCAGCTCAGGTTTTAATTTTCGAATTTTTTTATCTGCGCAACCTGATGTTTTAAACTTTGATTTGGCTCCTTCTAAAAGTCAAAGTTTGAAATATCAGTAATTCACACCATCCGGTTCCAAATAAATAAGAATTAAAAAATTCTAGTTTAGGTGATCAGTTTCTTAATCTCAACATTTCAGTTTCTTAATCTCAACATTTTAGTTTCTTAATCTCAACATCAGTTTTAACTGATTTTGGTCAATCTTGATTTAATGTCAATACAATAGAACCGATTTGGTTTGATCTTTTAATTGGGCGCGAAGCGTTATGATTGTTACATTTTAAACCCTCTTTCCTCCATGATACTTAAATATATATTCATATTTGAGCGATCAATTTATTAATCTTAGAATTCGAGAAAATGTCATATCGATTGAACCGATTTGGTTTTTGTATCGGGTGCGAAGCGTGAAGATTTTTCAATTTAAACCCCCGTCCATCCATACTTGATACTTAAATAAATATTTTTATTTTGTGCGATCAATTTCTTTATCTAAAAATTTTTGATTGATTTTAGGTTATTCGAGAAAATGTCAAAACGACTAAACCGATTTTATTTGATTTTTGTATCGTTCGCAAAGCGATATGATTTTTAATTTAAACCCTTCCCTTCCCTCCTTGTATCTTAAATATATATATTTGTATTTTGAACAACACTCTCTGTATCTAGATCAGATAAGAAAACTGAATATTTGGCTCCAACACATACATTATTTATTTTCAATTTGGTTTCTTATCAGCAAAATTTATTTCCATAAAAGTTTAATGTTTAGGTTCGTTGTAAACATGATAACCAGGGTTTACTAAATCCGTTATCAGTTTTCTAACAAAGGGACTGTTCTAATATTTCAGCAAAGTTACACCCTGAACTTTGGAGAAATGAAAAGAATTTATAGAATGTCGTCTTGACAATTTTCAATGGGTTTTATAATATTATACTTGAATCTCTTAAAGATATAAATAAATTAATAGCCATAAAATATGCGGGAACAGTTTAAAGAGCTCCATATAATTATTCAATTAAAAAACTAAATATTAGTAGGTTAAAAAACGACATTTCATAAATTCTTTTAATGACTCCGAAGTTATAGGGTTTAAC